AAACTGAAATTAAAATAATTTAAATTGCAATTTCAATATAAAAAATGACTCCAGGAAAAACAACAAGAAAAACTAGACTGCATGCAAGATAAGTTCAATTAAATGTAATTCATAATATAATATCTGTTCTTTTTACTAATACGGATGTGGCATCAACTGAAAGCATAGAATTTTCACTTTTAGATATTCTCTGCTTGGTTCACCAAGCTACAAGAGAGAGATAATTAATATAAAATTACACCATGCAAGTGTTCATTAATTATGCTTTTTATTTAAGCATAAATACTGACTCTACATAAACACTGTTTGCTCATTTTGAAAGCGCTAAATAACTTTATATGCTATGTCTGCCAGGCAAAGAATGTTTTATGCCCAATCTTAACCTTATTTTCTCCCATTATCACCAGGATTGCTCTACATTCAACAGACACCATAGAGGCAAGTCAACATTTGTGGAATTAGGAGTAGCAGTTGCGCCCCTATGCTGAGACTGAATGGATAAGAAAGGGCAAAGTCCACGAGTCCAGATATCCTGTGGGGGTTTGACTTCTAACTGATTCAACACTACTGACACCACTATAACATCTGCATTTAACAGACGGCCGAGTCATCAACACACCACTCCCTTTTTGGCCTTTGGACGTGTGTCCCTGGACCAGAGCGACAGCTGTCAAAGTGCCATGCGGTGAGTGAGGCAGGCAGGTGGGGCTCACACGCTAGTGCAACGGTTCCCTCACACTTCACACTGGACTGACTCTGAATTACAGCTGCACAAAATAATCACTATCACAATAACGACCTTCGCAATGCTGATAATGCAGAGGCCACAATATGCAAATGAGCCCCTATCCAATCGCTAAATGTTTTATTGTGGCGTTTGAGGAATTGGGGCATTCACATTCCCAACAAAGGTGCATAATTTTGGTCAAAATAATGATGGCCAAATCTTAAACGTCGCATTATGGGTTTGCCAATGCATCTGAATTAGGCCATAATGCAAAATAATGTTATATTTCAATACTCCAAGACATTTTCTCAATATGCATCACAATATTTATGCTTTCTGAGGTTTTATAAGATGAAAAAGAACCAGTAGTGCCACATTTGAAAGATATTAACTCCTCAATTCAATATAAACAAAAAACACAACAGTACATGAAGAGGAGCACTTACTTCATTATAAGGTTAAGCACTAATCATATCTTTAAACACACATGAATTTATTAAGCCATGTCAATGATAAGTCAAAATGCCAATGTTTCGGCCTTCAACAGAGTAAAAAGATTCAAATTTACATCAGGCGATCTCAATGCGCCTATATTTACAGCTTTGATGGTTAAAATCAGTCATAAGATCTGAGAGTGAACCAGAAAGTTATAATTAAGAGTCTTCTATTGAGCAAAACAATGTATGCCAATCAATAACAAGAATATCTCTTAAAACAACAGCCAGAAATAATGACAATTTTGCTAATAAGTAAAAAATAATTCTAGTTAAGACAAACTATAAGGTGTTGAGTAAGGAACTGAATAAGGAATTAAGTAAATAATGGCAGCTATTTATACATTTGTCGATATGCAAGACATCTAACAAGTCAAAAAAATTCAGACACATTTAAGAAAATCCACAATATGCTCAGAAAAGCACACAGTAATTGTTGCGAGAAAACCTTGTATCTCCAATATTGTAACTTTACCAGAGAAGGAAAAAAGTTCTTAAATTTGAATGGAAGTTAATGTAAGAAGGTTTTTCCAAGTATTTCTATTGGTTCAATTATCATGAAATGTTAGGAGACTGTAAAAAGCAGCTGGTGTTTTCAAATTCTGCAAAAATATATACAAAAAACAGCAAAAACAGAGATACAAGGTTCTAAATGTGACAATATGATGACAAATGTAACATAATTTATCATGATAATGAAATATTGTCATTTTACCCACCCCAATTTTCAAAATATGGCAATATACTGAATGTATTAAATATATTGCAAATATTGTATTTATAGCCAAAGTGGTTGAATAGACCAAATCATATTCAAATCACAATATCGGTGCTGTTAGAACAAAACCTAATTTTTGAAAAAATAGTAACTTTACAGGAGAAGAAAAAAATAATGGTCAATATAACAATATTTTTTCAAGTAATTTTGAACCATCTCTACTGGTCTGTTCATCATGATATTTTAAGAGTAACTTCAGTTTTCAAATGATGCAAAAAAATTAAGGACAAGCTTTTGAACGTGCAGCTCTAGTCTTAAATGCAGAAAATCCATCTCTTTCTCTTTCTCTCTCTTTCTCTCTCTCTTATGCTCGTGGACTCATTCTGCAAACCCAACAGCGTCCAAGTAGTTTCAACGACTCACCTAATCGCCCCTTGAGCACCTGGCAGAATTTGGCTTACTGAGAAGAAACCACAGACAATCTCTTTCTCTATGTCTCTCTCTCTCTCTCTCTCTCTCTCTCTCTCTGCCATTTCATGCACTCCTCTTCATAGCGACAGGACAACCCAATTAGTAACATCCAATACGACAGATCTCTAAGAGGACCACTCTTTTAAAACAACTGTGCTGTTTAAACGGTCTTCACAGCAGTGCCCACTCTAAGTGTCAGAAATTTGGCGGTGATACATTTATATCACCTGCTAATAAGACTGTATTGAAGAGATGAAAGAGGAAAAGGTAGTAAAACTAATAGAGGTAAGGCTGGACCACAGCTTGCCGAGCGTGGGAGGGTTTTACGTGATGTGTGCAAATCCGCAAGAGTAAACGACTAAAAAAATACATCAATAAACTGAGAGTTAAAATAAATAAATAGTGAGTTACTTAAAAAATATTTCAATCAATAAACCACATATGCTATCATTTGAGCTTGATGAAAAATGCATGGAATATGTTAACAGTCAGCTTAAAAGTTATAGCATATAGTATATAGTATAGTATGTACTAAATCAATGTTTTATGTATATGTGCTTTCATAATGTGCTACATTTTGAGGGAAAGAAACATCAGTACTGGTACGAGCTATTAAAATTGCACAAAGGCTGCTTTTTACATTCTGTGCAAAGGAATAATTTACCTGCCAGCCTTTTCAGTCCCTTTTCACGGCCAGCCAGCTCTCTCGAGCTCTTTCACCCAGAACAGAAAAACAAACAGGTCTAAATATCACTTTTATAGGCTGCATTCTTTTCTGTTTTTTTGTCTTTGTAACTGACCCTGGGAGAGGGTCTCAAAACAAAAAACAACAACAGCAACAACAACAACAAAACAGATGAAATCTTTAGTCTCCCTCCTGTGTTAACAGAAATGTGAAAACCTCTCTGGCTTAACTGAAGTGTTGGGGGTGGGAGGGGGGGATGGTAGCCCAACTTTTGGAGCTACTTTTGATATGTAAATGGACGACTAGGCAAACAAAAAGAAACCCGCAAGAAATCACACCAAACTCGAAAAGGTTTTCATGAAGAAGAGCAGAACAAATGGAAGGGTTCTCTTTTTTCCCCACCTGTATTGGGAGCAGCCCCGCCCACCTGCGCTAGGATTGGTTCGTAGTTCACATTGGGTGAACTGCTCGTGAGTGCGAACTACTAGCCAATCCCAGCAAAGGTGGGCGGGGCATGGCCGAGCACGGGTGGAGTTGGGAGCTCCAACAACGGCCCATTTGTTGAGAATTCCTTTCTGTCAGTTAGAAAGGGTGAAATGAATGAGTGAATGAAAGCACGACTGACTGAGCAGTGGGCTGCCTTTGGCCGATCAAAGGCCAAATTACACAAAAATAATGTACTTTTTTTGGCCTACAGAGGAAAAATGTCACCAAAGTGTTTAAGTCTACCCTCGAAATAGACCAACAGCAAGTTTTTCCAAGTGAAAAAAAAGAATAATACTACTAATCTCCACTCTACTTTGCTTTTGAAGGGGCTCTGGCTCTGTTTTTGTGCTGCCCACTTGTCTAGGCTTTATTTTGAATATGAAATGGCTGCTTTTCTCATTATCCGTGCTCAACATAGGAGAAATAGCCCTTGTTTGCTTTGGTATGGTTCGTTGTTTTGATTCATGCACTTAGGCTAGCCTAAACAGCGGTGTGTGTGTGTGTGTGTGTGTGTGTGTGTGTGTGTGTGTGTGTGTCACAACACACACGTCTGGACATGGGCAGCTCATAGCTGAGTGAATTATGCATGTGCAGTAAAATGATCTAATTTCTGCCGCAGCAGTAGAGCTCATGGTGAACATCTCTACACAATCTCGATCACTTTCTTTCATCCAGCCAGGTATTGATTCGTTTAGATACACTCTCTGTTTAAGAGTAAAGTTATATACATACATATATATATATATATATATATATATATATATATATATATATATATATATAAACACAAACAAATGTAAAATGCAGGGAAATATCACACTGTCCTAGATGCCCTAAAAAACAAGACATAGGTGATAGAGATGATGTTTTGGCTGGTGTATTCTATCACACACGGCCTCCATTGATTGAATGCTTCATCTATAATTCCTCATCTATCTAATCCAAAGCGAGATTAAGCAGCCCCAGTCAAGCCACATCTGGCATCCTGCTCTGGAAGGCAGGGCTCATTTGCTGAATTAAAACCTGCTGCCCTCTTAACTGTGTTTAAACTTAATAATAAAAAAAGACGCTTAAAAAAACGTCAAACGTCCTTGTTTTGGTCAAGCAGCCAACGGGACAGCACGGCCGTGCTACACCAGACCTGACTGGCTGACTGGAGCCTCGAGACCTGCAACTTCAGCCTCGTATCCTATGCGTTTATTCCCAACTGCCGACGCATTTATCCAGTTCAGCGTGTGCGGGTGCGCTATTCGGCCAAAGCGCCCGATGCCCTGTTGCACCGATAGATGGTGAGATTACGAAGCAGCAACGAATCGGGCGGAAAACAATGCTGCAAAAAGACAACAGTGGAGAACTCCTGTCTGCATCGCATGTGCTCAAGTGAGGGAAACAGAGAGAGCAGGAGGCCTGCTTACTCACCGAGTGTCCCAGCTGTGTGTTTCTGGTGCTTTCTTCTTCTTTTGTTGCTGTTCTTGTTGGTGGTCGTGGTCTTTTTGGTGGTGCTTCAGTCTCGATGTGCGGCGCAAAGCCCTGCGCGCTGCTGCATTGCTCTTCCAGCACGAGCTCCTCGCATAAACTCCATCCCAAAGCCCAAAGCCGAGCGCGCGGAGAAGAAGAGAGGGGCGTAGAAAACGAAAACGAGCCCCCCTAACGCACCATGTCCGCGCTATCGGGCTCGAGAGTGAGAACCGGAGAGGGTTGAAAAAGGCAGTAAGGTGCAAAAAAGCGAAGGAGACGCGTTCACGCGTTCAGGCGCGAGGCAAAATCAAGCGTCGTCTTGCCATCGCTGCGCGGAGGAGAGAGAGCGAGAGAGAGAGAGAGAGGGGGAAAAAAGAGAAAGGCAGCCGCAGACGGAGTGCCGGAGTGTGTGCGCGAATGAGAGTGTTTGTGTATGTGTGTGTGTGTGAGGGGTGGAGGGACTGAGGAGAGGACCCGAGCTCGGACGTGGCTCGCCAACAGTCTCTATCTGAGAGCCTATGCGTGCGCGAGAGCGCGCGTTTTGCTGCAAGTTGAGGAAATCCCAGTCGCACCGAGCTCGAGCGGAGCAGACTGGGCTGGATTTTGAGTGAAAAAGGGGTACAGTGCCGTGGCTGAAGTCTCTCCGCAGCAGCTGCCTGAGATAAAACCTGCCACAAAACCTGGAAAGGAGTAGGCAGCGGGACCTGGAGCTCGAGTCACACGCTCCCAACTTCATTAGTTTACACGCCAAACGCGCGCGCACACGCGCACGCACGCATGCACGAGGCAGCAATCTGATCCTGCAGCTCAGCACAGGAACATGTGCTAAGGCATGCAACATGTACAGTACATTGCATGCATACGTAATACGGCCCACATTGGCGTACAAGAAGTCCCATTGGTCTAATAGTGCAGTCTCATTAGACACCTTGTGTGGTGGAGGCTGAAAATCCATAACGCCTTTTCTCAATAATTGGGGGGGATTATTTTTGGGGGAAAAAAGAGAAATGTCCAGTGGGTGATGATATAACATTAGGCCCAGCCTCTGTCCACACTGGATCCAGTTTCAGACAACCATTGTTGGACGCTTTTTGGTGGACTTGAGGTTGAGTCATGATAAATTTATTTATGAAGAACATTTAGAATCAGCAAATGTGGGATATTATGCTGTACAATGACTCATAATATAAACAAGTGACATGTAATATTGATTACATGGATAAGGAGGCAGGAATGCTAAATTAGTGCCAAAACAAGTATATAAAAGAAAAAAAAAACAATAAGAGTGAAACAGGCCACTACACAAGATGAAATACAAAAGACACCACAAACCATTCACGGAGGTGTCAGCAATAGAGAAACAATAGGTCTTAAAAGCATGACTAGGAGTATTTTACTAGTGGATATATTACACACAGCCAAAGAATTTTGGTCTTCTTTGGTTCCTGTATTGTTCACACCTCAGCACACGTTTTCTTACATTTTGTTAAACTATATCTCTCTACACGGTTAGGAATAAAGTGCAGGTACATTTTTCGTTTATCAAGATAAACAATATAAATGTACCCTCAAAGGTACAACAGTGGTTTTAGGGTCCAATTGTGAACCTTAAATAAGTTTTTCCAGGTGAAAAATACATATTTGTACCTTTTCACAACCTAATATTTTAAAACAGAACAATAAAATAAAAAGCCTGGAGACGAGACGGGGTGTGTGGAGTCAGTACAACTTAGGAAATATAATTTCAGTGGATTATGGTACAATTATGTTCCCTGACCAAAGATGTACCCTTGAGGGTACCACCCTAGTGACAAGAGGGGCACTGCCCCAGTGACAGTTTCGTACCTTTATTTCTGAGAGTGTAGCACACTTAAAACAGTACAATTACAGTAATTTACTGTTTATTTATTGTACTCACAGTAGTCTGGACTATATTTCTAAGTGCATTCCTATATTTCTATGGTACAGATTATCTGTGCTCTAAAGTGAACCCCCAGCTGTTTAAGGTCAGCTTTAGAGAGATATATCATGATACCACAGCATAGTTCTGTTTATCAATCACACCATGAACTAAACATCACATTACCGCAGTTACTGCACTGATGCCATCATTAAGACTACAAAATAATCGAATATCTGTTAATTATAACATTACAGGACAAACTAGTAACTGAAACACAAACATCATCATGGTTAGAATAACATATTGTTCAAACATATTGTGGCATTGTGCAGAAGATGAGTCAGGTGAGGCCATCATTTTTGCTCATGGAAATTTGTTCTTTATTAGAACCAGCAGAAAAAGCCAACATCAACCAGCCTGAACAGCAGGGAGGCCACTTATAGCCGTTCTATTTACAGTGGCCAACTAGCCCACACTATCTAAACCCAAACACAACAAAACACAAATAACACATGTGCAGACTTTAAACTGAAGAACAACAACATCAACAACATTAAACAAAAATATTTAACGTCTCTTTCCAGTAGGGGGGACAGAGCGCATGGTGCACCTTTACATACCATAGCTGTACAGTCCCTTCTGCAGCACGGAGGAAGCAAAAGCTGCCATAGTCTCTTTGTATAAAGAATAAAAACAAAAAAAAAGGGAATGAACTGTAGAGGATCCATCCCTGTCACTACAGTGTTCAGAGACTGGCTGCTCAAGACCACAAAAAGTACTGTCACTTTCCCAACTTGCTTAGCAAATAACAGTTACTTACTGTAAAATTCAACATTTTAACTTCATTGGCAAGAAACATGACAAGTTTCTCCCAGAGAGCATCATTTTACAGCAATCTGCTTTATTTAAAAATACAGTAGATTGCTGCAGTGTTTCCACTGTAAATTTATGCAAACTCTTTACAGTGTAACTCATAAAAACAAGAAGAAAAAATCTGTTACAAGTGCATATTCTAATCATTCAATTGTGGGAGACATTTTATTATGATTTAAGTTATTGTTAAGTCTCGTTTGTTTTTTTTTTGTCATTGCTTTACATTGAAATACACAGAAAAAAGACAGAAATGCAAACTCAGAGGTGTCCATATACAATGTAAATGCAATGTAAATGTTATTATTACGAGCTACTAAGTAATTACATGTGTAATTACAAATTATGGGTAACTACTGTAGTAAAATGGCAGTTATAACTCTCAATATTTAAGGGTTGAAATGTATGAACTGAACTACAAATAGAGGGACAAAATCAGCAGGAGGAAAGTACAAAGACGCTAAGGAAAGTCCAGAGGAGAGCTGGAAAAGGAGAAAAAGGGATCGAGAGAGGTACAAAGGGAACTGAGCCACAGGCTGCACTGCAATCCGAACCCCGAGCTGCCATTTCAACACCTCGGGCCGAAAAAAATGTTTATGCAGGCCGCTATCCCCCACTAAGACATACCTCCGCAACACAGGCCTGCTGATAATTCCGGGAAGCAACAGGATTAAGTGAGGTGAAAAGCAGAAACATCAAATGTGGTAGGGAAGACCAGTCGAGGCTTTTGAAGGGCCTCAGGAAAAAAAGGTCTGTTTGGCAGGAGAACACCTTCAGCTATAGTGAGCCTCATAGAAAACAAAGGCAGCGCTACAGTTTTCAGTTTGAAGATTCTGATGCGGAAAAGCTCTTGAACTTCAGTTGTCAGGAGTGCGACGTTTCCTTTGAGGAGATGCAGAAGAAAAGGAATGTGAGTAGAAAACATTGAGGGGTGGTGGGTAAGCGGGGGCTGTAGTTGGGCCTATCCCGCTCTTAACGTTCCCTCTTTGTTTCAAAGAGCTTCAAAGAGCCCAGTCTTGATTGCCTCAACCGGGTTAAGTACATACACCACCGACACGCCATATTTCTCCATTCCAACCGCCATTCTCTACACTACCACGCTTACACAAATACAAAAACAAGCCCGTTTCAAACTGTTATTGTCAGAAGATTAATTTCCACTCATTCCCTTTTTTCCACTGGCCCAAGTAGGCTGCCAGGTCAGTGGGCTCTCTTACACGTGGCTTCAATAACGAAAAAAAGGAGAAAGAAAAGGAAGGTGAAAAAAAAGCAGTCTCTAGAGCTGTGATGGAGGGAAACACGAATTGGGGTCAAATTCACCAGGTGGAAAGAGGGGGGGATTAGCAGAGAGCGCTCATGTATTCGGAGGCATAATTTTACATAATAAAGAATAGCAGAGTAAGTGAAAACAGATGTAACACAGGTAATCCACCAACACGTTCTCATAGTGGGAGACACAAAAAATGTTTATGCACCAGGCAGCAGGAACAGGGAGAGGTGTGAAGGCTTTATTCAGGCTGACCGGTCAGGGCAGGGGACAGACTGGCCTTCGTTCACTCTTTTCCATGCTCTATCTCTCTCTCCATACATGTCGCAATAAGAACTCGCCCACTTTAATAACCCCTTAACCTGCAGGCCTGCTATTCAGTTAATCATCTTAAGACCGTACTTATGTGCAGGTCTGTGGTAACTTGTATAGTCCAACAAACAAAATATCATATTGATGGCTTCCATGTAGTAGAAGTTCAATCAGTTTCTACTGCACTTATTACTGCTGTGTGTAAAGGATCATCTGCAAGATTTGGAGGCAAAACATCATAGATGGATTATTTCCTCTATGAAAATTTGAAGGTGTTTTGTTTCAAAATGCATTAAAGATTACTTTCATGAATTTTCTTCATGGTATATGTTGTTGGGAGTGCTATATTATGATTCGTATAATCTTTATTAGAGAAATAAAAATTGATTTTTCATAATACATGAGCTGTTAGCCTTTAAAAAACTTGCTGTATCCAACATTGTTACAAATAGAAATACAGCATTTGTGAACAAAACACTTTTCTTCAATTCTCAGCAATGTTGGGGTAGTTACTCAAAAAATCCATTCAAATCACTAATTACATCTCTCAAACTTGTTACCTCCTGGAAAAGTAACCTAACAACTCATTACTTTACTTCTAAGGTGCTCTCTAAAATCCAGCTGGAAAGTAAAAGGGAAAAAACATAATCCTTTCAGTCCTTTTTAAGAAAGAAACAGCCAATAAAACATCATTTAAAAGGTCTGTCACCATTTAACAAGACAGCCAGTTACACTTGAATAAAATTATTAACAGCTAATGCTGTTTAAAAACTGTAGAAACTAGCCAGTAAAAATAGTACAAAAACAGCTGCTTCCCAAAAACGTTTTATGAGTAAAAAAATCTGAATGAAAAAATATGTTAAGGCTGGTCTGTTTAGGTGAAGTTGAATGTTTCTTTTTTCAGTATGGTGTCTTCATACATCAGTTTCATATTAGTGTGATGAGATTGCTCACCAAGTTTACTGCCATGCGGTCAAATCAAAGTAATACAGTCATCATTTGCAGGAAGCAATGTACAAGAATGGGCATGGAGATAATTCATGTTTTATGTGCATTGTACAAAATTAATATTGCTCTGTCAGAGACATATGACTAACACAAGTAACAAAATTAATACAAAGTCAGTAACTAACATAATTACAGGAGTTTATACTGTAAAGCACTACAGTACCTCGTTACAGGTAAAAGTACATTACCTTTTTGTAAGA